GATGTGCCAGAATCCTTGAGTGGCCAAAACTGTGTTAGTGGTCTCAAATACTTCCCCTTTGTTGAATTATAACACCTTAGACAAAGCAGGGAAATTAATGCCTTCATCTTTCACAGAGACATTGGTAAAGCTCTTCATTTGTACTCACAGCCCTCTCTTTTCTCAGGACCCACATACGAGTCCATGGGACTAGGTCAGAGATGAATTAGAATGACCACCACCATCCGCTACTCAGAATTGTGCCTTCTCTTCCCCACCAAGGAAGGCTTTGATTTTGCACCAAACTTTGCTACTTATGTTATCTTCCTTCAGGGTGAGTTTTTCTCCCAGGATGCTTCATTTCTTTATATAAATAAGTTTCTAATAGGCTTATACACTTATTTATAACACAGCACCAGACTGTAAGGGTTAGGTTGAGACTCCTGTTACAAGGAGAACAGCTGAGCTCTGTGTCACGGCATAGCCTGTCTTCTCTCATTTTTGTTACTGTTTTCTTTACCTTATTTTCATCCTACCAGTGAGTCATTACTCTACTTACGCCTACTTTATGTTTACATATTTAAATAAACTTCAGGAACTAACAGATGGTGTAATGGTTATGATGCTGGACTCCCACATAGTTGACCGCGGTTCAAGTCCCAGACTCTATGGCTTAAAACTCATGCTGGGTGCGTGTGCGTGCGTGCCCAAAATCATAAGAGGAGAATGGAGGAGAAGGGATTGCGGCATGGCCATCCCCTCTGGGGGTGATTTCTCTCTTTCTCTCTGTTTCTCTGTCTCCCTGAAGAGCACACATGCCCTAAACAAAAATCTCTCTTAAAAGAATAGTAATAATAAAACAAATAAACTTCAGTCCGTTTTCTAACTTATCACCAATTCTCTGAATAGTCATTATTTCATATACATTAGAAACCTCAAGTTTGGGGACAGCAGGTGGCATGGTGGTTAAGGTGGTTAAGGCACTGGATTCTCACATGGCTGACTATGGATCAAGTCCTCAGACTCAGAGGCTTGCAAATCGTGCGGGACACATGTACACAGGTGCCCAAGATCCCTAGAGGAGAAGAGATTGCAGCATGGCCCTCCCCCTGGGGGATGAAGAAATCATCCCTCTCTTTGTCTTTCTCCAGCACACGCATGCACACTATGGCAAAAACTTAAACAAACAAACAAAAAAACACACAAAGACAAGTTTGTAGAAAAAAATTTAAAAATACAAAAACCCTCAAATTAGAGTGAATTTTCAAAATTGGTGCAAAGTCTGATTTGCTAAATATTTTACTTGGAACAGAGGAAGAAAAATCTTCCCATGGACTTCAATGTATAGTGCCAAATAGCAAAATGTTATTCTTTTAGGAAGCAGGTGGTGTGATGGTTAAGGGTGCTGGTTTCCCACATGGGTTCAAGTCCCAGTCCCAGTGACTTGAAAATCATGCCAGGCTCATGTACATGTTTGCCCAAAATCCCAATAGGAGAATGGAGAAAGAACTGCAGTGTGACCATCCCCGAGGGGGCGATTTTATTTTGCTTCTCTCTGTCTCTCTGGTGAACACACACATATAGCAAAAACTAAAAAAAAAAAAAAAAAAAAAAAAAAAAAAAAAAAAAAAAATATTCCAATGTTGGAAAAGTCATCAGAACTGAAAACTGAGTGAGATGTCTGGAGTAGCTCCAGTGTTCTTGGGATAGCTTCAGCTACCTACCTCTCTACCTCTCTATGAAAATGTACAGCCATCCTCAAACCTTGGGGCCCTTCCTAAACTTCATAGTGAGCTAGATGTGACTAACTTTGATATGTTATGAAGGAAGGGCAGTTTAGCTACTAGGTTTGTTGCGTAGGGCACAGACAGTGTTTAAATAGCAACAACCCAGGGAGAGTGAAGTTATAATCAGTAAATGGTAGCTGGTGCTAATAGTAATAGCAAACTATGGTTGCCCCCCCACCCCCCAAGAACAAGGAGCATCAAGTATCCTAGCGAACTTTCTCAAGCTATCTGAACTAAGACCAATCAGAACATCCTGAAAGATAGCCAGTTATGGCGGTGGCAACGTAGAAATTCCTAGAAAGTGAGGTGCATCCCTCTGTCCTTCCAGGAAAAACAGTCATGAGAAGTATACCCATTTCTGCCTTGTGAATCGGAAAGGTAGTGAAATCACAGAAAATGTGCTGTTCTAAAATCAGAACAGGCTAATTTTATAGTGGAATTCTTGGCTTTACATTTTAAACAAACTCTTACTTAAAATTACATTTATACATTATATGTGAACAAGTTGTCTTAGTCTACTATTATGTTGCTAACAGAAATACTGGAGATGTAGTGATTTATAAAGAAATGAAGGTTTATTTGACTCACTATTCTGGTGGCTGGAGAGTCTGAAGGAAAAGGACTGACATCCGGCTGGCCTACAATACAAGACTGCTGACAGAAGCACAGAGGATGGCAGGCATGTACAGAGAGAACAGCCTGTGGGCAGCCATCTCCCTGTAGCCTACTCTCTCTAGAGCTAACATCTTCTCATGAGAGCTAGAACTCACTTGGTCTCTCATGAAATAGCATTAATCCATTCATAAGGCCGATTCCTCCATGACCCCATCACCTCGCCACCTGTTAATGCTATTATATTGGGGACCAAATTCAAAAACATGAACCTTTGGGAGACAAACCATTATCCAAACCATAGCACCATTCCTAACTTGTAATTATGAATTAATTTAATATTGACTAAAATCTATTAAGTAGAATAGGCTTCTAAAATATTTAAATTGCAGAAAAGAAAACTACCTGCTAAAATGGTTAAAAGGTCTTTTTTGATTTCTGAGCTAGATGGTTAGTGTTTTCATGGGTTAGATTTAGAAATCCCATATATCCAAAATTATCATTGAAAACTCCTTAGGAAGCTGGTACTTTGGAGTCCAACAGTTTTTAGAGAATTGAATTATATTGTTGGGTTTTGTTTAAAGGTGCATTGTCTTTTAGAAAAGAATATGTATATTCTCTTTAAACCATAGAGTCATGCTGTGGAGAGGTGCTTGGGCTTATGATAGGTGCATGGGGTTTATGAGCAACTGAGAAACCAGAAGCTCCACATCACCCATGCTATACTTACCCCAGGGTGTATGCTTATTAAAAATCAGGCAGAACTTCCATACTGTTTACACATTTGAGTGGGCAAAGCAAAAACTCAGTTTCTCCTATACTCACAACACAAATCACCTCTGTGACCCCAAAATGTCTAGGAATTTATCCCTACCAGCAAGCAAGCAATTCTACAGCAGATACCAGTGGGGCATCCCGTAATCCACTTTAATTGAAACCATATCCTAAGGTCAAGGGTTCAGTCCCATAAGACTGCCCTCAGCTCAGACACCAGCATCAAATCCAGTCCTCTGGAACTTCTGACCAACCAGCTGAAAATTGGAGTTCCCATGACCCCTTTTTTGAATTTGATTAACTTGCTAGAGTGAATCACAGAATTCAGGGAAATACGTTACCAGTTTATTACAAAGGATATTTTAAAGGATATAAATAAACAGCCAGATGAAGAGATATGTAAGGTGAGGTCTGGAAGGGTCCCAAGCACAGAGTTCTGTCCCTTGAAGAGTTGGACTGCACCACCTTCCCAACACAGAGATGAGTTCTTGCTCACCTTCCTGCAAGCTTCCATGTGTTCAGCTCTCCTGTCCTTTTGGGGTTTTTATGGATTATTTCATTGCATAAGGCATGATTGAAACATGGACAACTATAAAAATGTGATTGGACAAGGGGCCAGCAGTTAGCGTAATGGCTATGTCGCTGGACTCCCACGTAGTCGACCGTGGTTCCAATTCCGGACCCGGTGGCTTAAACTCACGGCAGGCGTGTGTGTGTGTGTGTGTGTGTGTGTGTGTGTGTGTGTGCCCAAGATCCCAAGAGGAGAATGGAGGAGAATGGATTGCAGCATGGCCATCACCCCTGGGGGATGATTTCTCGCTTTCTGTCTCTATGTCTCTCTCTGTCTGTCTGGCGAGCACATGCGCCCTGTAGCAAAAACCCCTCCAAAAAAATAAATAAAATTTAAAAATTTTTAAAAATGTGATTGGACAAAAAGAATACGATCAGATGTTAACACACTGAGTGGAGAAACCCAGCAAGGTCTATCTGCTCAGACTCTTCTTGGCTTCTCTGTGCAACCTTCTTCCTCCTGGATGTAGGGCAGGCCCCTTCTGAAATGGGAGTCTCATGACTTACTATCAAATAAGGTGCATCGGAGAATTTCTTTACAATCAGATCCACAACAGAAAGGTAGGGGAAGATCATTTCAGTTTCTTTTCTTCTTTTTAAAAATTTACTAGAAGGCACTGTGCTTGCCATAGAGAGACAGACAGTCAGAAATAGACAAGAAGAGGGAGAATGCACCTCTCCCCCAATGGGACATGGATATAGTCCCTTCTTTGCATTTCTTCTTCTTTTGGGACTTAGAGGACACACGTACATGCACCTGGCATGTTTTTCAAGATGCCATATCTGAGACTCAAGTAGTACAGCTGACCCTGTGGAATCTAGCTCTCTTAAGCAGCTGACCATGGGCTGGCCCATAGTTTCTATGACCCACCTTCAGAAAGAGAAATTCTAGTTTCTGTGGTCTGTCTTGGGGAGCTTCAGGAACCAAGGACAAAAGACCAAATAGTTATGAGCCAGAAATCATAGACAAAACTCAATAGATAGATAGGTAAATAGATAGATATTGTATTTATATAAATAGTGATAGTATTTATTTCCATAGGTATTTTACTTATAAGCATATAAATAAAGTGATACCACAATAATAAATAGTCATTTTTTCTTCTTTTATGGCTGAGCTTATTATAATTGAAATTATGATAACTAAGCTTAAAAAGATACAACTCCACAATATATAATTATATTGTTAAAAGTTTTATATGAATTTTTGTATACTATTTTAGTCTCTCAAATAGGAAAGTATGATATGATACTATATCATTTTTAAATTTTCTGCAGGTAATGGATTCTGAATTAATGCATAGCATAGTAGGAAGCTATATTAAGCCTCCAGAAAGAATGTTTGTTCCATCATTTACCCAGAAAGAATCATCTCAGAATCAACAACCTGTGGACATAGAAGTCACTTCTCCTAAAATGCTTCATAGCCCCAATAGCCAAGGTAATGTTAATGTAAAATCTTATGTAAAATTAGAGGAATGATACAAAGAATGGTACAAACATTTTTCGGTTTTGATTAGAAAATAATGTGATTATATTTTTATACTAATTTTAATAAAACCAATCTTGATCCTGTGGCTGCAAGTTTCTATGAACTTAGACAAGTTACTTAATATTTTTTTTATTTTGGCTTCTTCAGCTATAAGATTAAGATTAATATAACCAGCAGGACACATAGCATAGGTTTTCATAAAAATATCCTAACAATGGGACTAGCAGTTGGCATAACGGCTTTGTTGTTGGACCCCATGTAGTTGACCATGGTTCAAGTCCCAGACTCGGTGGCTTCAACTTGCACTGGGTGCATGTGCGTGCGTGCCCAAGATCCCAAGAGGAGAATGGAGAGAAGGGATTGCAGCGTGGCCATCCCCCCGGGGGTGATTTCTCGCTTTCTGTCTCTCTGTCTCTCTTTCTGCCAAGCGCACGTGCCCTATAGCAAATAAATAAATAAATAAATAAATAGTATCCTAACAAAACAGGAAAATAATCTGAAGAATAAAAGGTAGGATTTGGTGTCCCTGAAAAGCTCGATGATTAAAATACGAGTGAAGTCAGTGGTATTGTGCCTTATTTGAAGATTAGATTCTGAAACTGCAAATATCTAATATTATCCTTGAAATTTCTTTGGGTGGCCAGAATAACTACATAATATCAGCACTGTAACTTTTAAATATAAATTTAGGAATATCTTAAAATTTAATTAAGAAAATATTTATAATTTCAGGCATACCATAGGTCATACAAATTCTAAGATTGTGATAATCACCCTTTTATTGTCTATAATAGTGGTTGTCATTGATAAATAGACTAGCTCTGTGGTGTAAGCCACAAAAAATAATAATCCAAATTAATGAGTCAGTAATAAGTACCCTATAAAGAGAAATAAATATGATTTCTTTATCTCATTTGTAAAAGCCAAATGATAATCTCTAACAAATATCTTCCTAATTGGATATAAACTATATGGAAGTTACCTAATAGCATTTATATTTCACTCATCTCTAGTTTTATAGTTTGGAACTGAATAGAAAGTATAGTATTTGAAAATTTTATAACTCTGAACTTATCTGAATAATGACTGCCAAATAAAAATCATAGTAGTATCTGTGTGCTGCTTAGAATATTTCAAGCTTAACATTAGGTAAGCAATTGGGTTATAGTTTTTTTTCTAATGGAAAAAACTGTCTTTTACTTAATATATCATGATTTTTCTTTTTGGTTTTTGCTGTTGGGTGTATGCAGTCCCCAGAGAGAGAGAGAGAGAGAGAGGAAAAGTGAGAAACCACCCTCCCCAACCCCCAGAGGGAATGGCCACACCACAATCCCTTCATCTCCATTCTGTCAGGATTTGGGGCATACATAAACAAGCAACTCATGTGATTTTCAAATAACCATGTCTCGGACTCAACCTGTAGAGTCAGCTATGTGGGATCCAGCTGCCTTAGCCTCCATGCAACCTGCTAGTCCCATGTGCCCTGATTTTTAGCATTACATCTCAGACCAAATAGAAAGAAATATTTGTGGTATGACTAAAAGAACCAAGAAAAATCTTTAACTTTAAAGTTACCATGTTAATCACTGGATACTATTCTTTTTAATCTATGCCCAAACTTTTATGTCCCCCCAGATTGCACATTATCTTTAAGGACTTTCATTTGAAAATATGTATTAAATTGTGGTCACTGGACCAGCAGTTAGCGTAATGGCTATGTCCCTGGACTCCCATGTAGTGGACTGTGATTCGAGTCCCGGACCCTGTGGCTTAAACTCACGCCAGGCACATGTGTGTTCGTACCCAAGGTCCCGAGAGGAGAATGGAGGAGAAGGGATTGTGACGTGGCCATCCCCCTTAGGGAGTGATTTCTTGCTTTCTATCTCTTTCTGTTTCTGGCTAGCACATGTGCCCTATAGCAAAAAAACTCTCAAAAAAAAAAAAATTGTGATCACTAACTTCTCCTATCCTAGAAATCACTAAATACAATCATAGATGTATAGTTTTTATGAAATATGTTAGAGAAAATTTATCTATTTGTAAAGTTGTAGTTATTTTTCTTGGGACCAGCTGATAGCATAATGGTTATGTTGCCGGACTCCCATGTAGCTGACCATGGTTCAAGTCTCAGACCCAGCAGCTTAAAACTCACTCTGGGCATGTGTGTGTGTGTGTGTGTGTGTGTGTGTGTGTGTGTGGGTGTGTGTGCAGCTTAGATCCCAAGAAGAGAATGGAGGAGAAGGGATTGTGGCATGGCCATCCCCTCTGGGAGGGTGATTTCTCCCTATAGCAAAAATCTCTCAAAAAAAAAAAAAGGCTAAAGTTTTAGTTATTTTTCATTTTTATGAGGAATATACATTAGTTATACTTTTTTCTGGCTTACAAATATATATCAATTATTTATTTTTTATTTTTGCTATAGGGCACGTGCGCTCGCCAGACAGAGAGAGTCAGAGAGAGACAGAAAGCGAGAGATCAACCCCCAGGGAGGATGACCACGCTGCAATCCCTTCTCCTCCATTCTCCTCTTGAAATCTTGGGCACGCACACACATGCACTGGGTGTGAATTTTAAGCCACCAGGTCCGGGACACGAACTGCGGTCGACTACATGGGAGTCCAGCGACATAACCATTACGCTAACTGCTGGTCCCTTGATTATTTTTTGATATTGCTATGATTAAAGTGTTCAAAACTCACTTAATAATCAAATTTTTTTTCAACAGCTCTTATTTTAGCCTTAAAAACTCTTCAGGAAAAGATTCATCGTTTAGAGTTAGAGAGGACTCAAGCTGAAGATAACCTGAACATTCTTTCCAGAGAAGCTGCAGAGTATAAAAAGGCCTTGGAGAATGAAACAAATGAAAGAAATCTAGCACATGAAGAACTGATAAAGCAGAAAAAAGGTAAAAAAAATGCAGTTCTTCAAAATGAGAAGTCACTAGAACTTATCATTTGAAAATAATAAATCCTAAGATTTACCCATATATCTGTGTTTTGTTTTAGGTTTTTGCTGTAGGACACATGGGCTCACTGGAAAGAGACAGAGAGAGGGAGAGTGAGAAATCACACCCTGGGGAGATAGCCACGCTGCAATCTCTTCTCCACCATTCTTCTCTTGAGATTTTGGGCATACACTCATGCACCTGTCATGAATATTCAAGCCATCAGATCCAGGCCTTGAACCACAGTTGGCCATATGGGTGTCCAGTGCCCAACCACCATGCCACCTTACCTGCTGGCCCCTCTTTGTTCTTATATACATTCAAACTTTGAAGCTATGTCCGCAGATATTTTGATTACTTATGGGAAATGGATGTAACTTTACCTCCGGGGCAGCCTGTGGCATGGGTTAAGACAGCTGGATCCAGTGTTAAGACACTGCCAGCTGTGTGGTTCAAATTCTGGACCCCACAGCCAGCTGCGTGTGTGTGTGCATGCCCAAAAACCTGAGAAGAAGAATGGACAAGAAGGGATAATGACATGACCATACCCCACTGGGGCATACTTTCCCCCTATCTCTCTCTCTCTGAGTCTCTGTCTCTCTCTAGCAAGCACATGTGCCCTCTGGCAATTAAAGAAAAACAAAATAGGGGCCAGCAGGTGGTGTGGTCGTGAAGGTGCTCGATCCCACATAGATGACTGCATAGTTTGAGTCCTGGACTCAGTGGCATGAAAAACATGCCAAGCTCATGTGTGTACTTGCCCAAAATTCTGAGAGAAGGATGGAGAAGGGACTGCAGTATGACCATTCCCCCTGGGGGGTGATTTCTCGCTTTCTGTCTCTCTGTCTCTGGCGATCATGCACACCCAATAGCAAAAACCTCTCTTATAAAAAATAAAAATAAAAAGAGGTAGCTTGCTTATTCCTTAACTGTGATCTTTGTAATCAAAAGCAGAGGGAAACATGAGTGGTAGAACACAGGTACTTGAGTTTCCCAAAAGAGAACAAATGTATTGGCAGGTAAGAGCCTTTACATCCTGTTTCTCTAGATGGTATTATTTCTCAAGAATTAGCAGGATGCAATCATCCTAGAGGTCACTGACAACATCGTCTGTTAAGGGGAGGCAAAGTTGCAACCAGCAGTTGGCGTAATGACTGTGTCACTGGACTCCCATGTAGTCGACTGTGGTTTGAGTCCCAGACCCAGTGGCTTAAACTCATACCGGGCACATGTGCATGCATGCCCAAGATCCCAAGAGGAGAATTGGAGGAGAAGGGATTGCGGTGTGGCCATCCCCCCTGGGGGGTGATTTCTCACTTTCTGTCTTTCTCTGTCTTTCTGGTGAGTGCTCGCACCCTATAGCAAAAACCTCTCAAAAA